AGAGTAGTTGATCTTTAGAGGTATGGCACTACATAGAGAAATTTTTCAACAATTAATTTTTTTATAAACGGAGAAACAATAATATATGTATCACGTATAGAACATAGCACACTATTATATGATTTAAAATAGACATTTGAACTGTAATTCTTCTCTTTTCAGTTTGAAATTTTCATTACGAAATTCAGTATTTTGTTTTCTTTTTGTGGAATAATATATTCAGAAGAATTCACGATATATATTTAAACTACTTTTTTTTTCTAAACGACGTATTACGTCCTAGGAATCATTCAAATTGAAAATAATCCAATCTTCTGAACTGTCGGTTTTCTTTAATAAAAATCTATGACTATAATTTATATTCAAAAACTGAATTGCTTGAGTTTACACGACGACAAACGTGTCCTTTATTTTTAGCAAAACAAGTTAATAAGTTATACATTTTAATGACTTAACTACGCATTAAAAAAACATCTAGATTACGGATGTACAGCTAAATAGCATGATTAAATAAATATAAGTGGGCGAAAATAATTAGCACCACGAAACAGTGAAAATAATATTCACATTAGAAATTCGCTCATTAACAAGAAAACGTAATTAAGGTTTTACTACTTGTATAAATTACAATACGTATTTCCAGTTATCCTGAAATTGTTAAGTGAGAAACCAGTAGCTAAGCAACATAGAACGAATTATGGAGTAGTACTCCAACAACTTAGCACAGAAAGTCTGGAGTCCAACCAGACATCCATCGTCTGCGCCCATTTGTGAACATGGCAAATATATATCTCAATTATCAACGATTATAGAAATTTAAAACTAATCTTTCATCATTAGCTAAATACGATTTAATTGTGTTATTGTAAAATTATAAGTCAATGGTTAGTACCATATGGGTTTTCCTCGCCCATGTTATGGTACTTAACTTTTGCCCCCCCCCCAGTGGCACAGCGGTATGTCTGCGGACTTACAACGCTAGAATCCGGGTTTTGATATTCGTGGTGGGCAGAGCACAGATAGCCCATTGTGTAGCTTTGTGCTTAATTACAAACAAACAAGTTAACTTTTGATAGCAAAAGTTAAGAAAATGTCAACATAACTATATATATTTATTTGGTTATTTAAAAAAGCTAAAAATTAAAGAAGAGAATACATCATAAGGGAGGATAGCGGGAAACTTACGCAGCATATCCAAACCTTAGATGTAATACAATTAAATGTAAATTCATGAGTGAGAATAAAAAAAAAAATTGCAGCCATAATACAATTATCCAACACCAGGGCAGAAATAATAAGGTGGGTAAGCCCTGGTTTTTAGAGGTACTGGTGGAAGTAAGACCCAAGTTGCGCTGGTGGTACACCGTCTATGCAGTGTAACCTCGACTTCACCGGGCTCACATAATTAAGAAAAATTAAAACATAATAGAAAAAACAAAAACAGAGCAGATGTAGGTGCTCTAGCGTACAACGTCCCACATCTTTAACACCTTTCCCTGTCTGTAGCCAGTTGTGGGAGGGTGGATGCTCACATGGAAGAAAATTAAATAACAAAATAAATAAAAGCAGAAAGAAGTAATAGAATGTATTACAAAAATGGGGGAGACAGCAAGACTGTCCTTGAATTTAGCATTCCAGCCCCGAATATAATCTTTGGACATAAATATCAAGATATTAAGGTATTACTATACTAAGCCCAACCTATATTATAAGCGTAGATCCCATCTTCTACCCTTGAAATAAAGGGCACAGTATAGCCCATTGCGTAGTTTCGTGCTTAACAACAATCAAACAAATCATGGTTAATTATAAATCCTTTGTCTTGCTGCGAAATTTTCCTAACATGCTCTCTAATCTTTATTTTAGGATTTCCTATGTAAAAAAAAAGTTACTATGGTTAAGGAAGATTAACTATATAGAATCATTTTCCTGCTACCATTTTCATTATTCTTCTAGTTTGAAATAGTAATTAAAGAAAGTGAAGACAAAAACATAATTCACACTTTGATCGCCTAACTAAGCATACTGAGTTTAAATGGCACGTTACCGTCAGAATAAAATTAACAAAAAAAAATCCCGCTCTGCACTTTGGTGGCGAGGATGTGATGTAAGACTTACGGTGAAATCCAACATTTCGCTCTGAAAAGAGTAGTCCAAGAATTGGCGGTGGGTGATGTTTACAAGAAGCCTTTTCCTGTAGTCTACCAATTAAAAATGAGGGATTGTTAGCGAGAAAACCCTCTTGTAGTTTTGAGCAAAATTCGACAAACGAAAATACTGGAGCCTTCGTCACGTCTTATTTTGTCATTCATAATAAAACATGACGAAGGATTTAGTAGGAGAGTCGAAAGCATCTCAAAATCTTTATTTTTTTATCGTGCGATATAGTCTAACGGTTTATTAATTTAATTGTAACTCTTCCCCGACATAAGACTAATCTGATCAGAGTAGTCATATTACAAATAAGGCTAATCTAATCACAGTAGTTTTATTACAAATCAGTTCAACTAAGAAAAAAAAGCAATAAAAATAATAGAACATCACAGAATTTGGGTCTTAAAAGGTGTCGTGGAAATGATTGCAATAAAATAAAGTTGGGAGTGTAATTTTTCTAGGATATACTCAAAGGGAATGAGATCGGTCGAAGAGATTGAAATGGCATCCTCTGAAATAAAAATAAAAATATAGCAGTTCATCAAGTAAGGATAACGTTGAAGGTTAGTTTGAAACAGTATTTATCGAGTCGTATCCATGAAAGAATCTTAATGTAGGCATGCTGCACGAGAATTCAAATAGAATCTGTTAATTCAATTGCTTTAGAATATGTATGGAATTTTTTTTTTTTGTGGTTGTTGAATTTTGCCCAAACCTACATAGGATCTATCTGCGCTAGCCGTCTCTAATTTTGAAGTGATAGAGTAGCGGGAATATATGAATTTTAAAGACGAATTTTAGAAGATGAGATTGAACGCACCATTAATTGAATGTGTTAGAACCTCAGTAAGACTGTTATTAGATATTTGTATTTGATTTTCTTTTTAAATCCAAATTAAATAACGCAATGAAATTTTCTGATGCTTAGAGTATAGTGTGAGTCAATCGTTGGGCAATGTTATTCAATTTTCAAGCAAATATCCTTTTACCTCAAACTCAAAAATTCAAAGCCGCAGGAAAGCATCATCATGGTTTATCATTCTGGAAAATTCCAAAAATTGGGGAAATATCAGTTGGCGAGAATGTTGCAATTTTATGATGATACCGTGTAAGAAATTGAAAGAAAATGATGTCGAATTCTGAGTAAAAAGTATCATTCAGAAAAAATATAAAAATATTTAGACGTTTCTTTTTGATTAGATTAGTGATAACTGAATTTACTGAGGCCTTGTGACACCCAACTAAAATATAACAAAGTAAAAAACTCAATTTGTACAATAATTGCAATTCATCTTGGGAGTAAGCTTTCTTCTGGAAGGACGTGGTAGTCTGGTAGTTCGACATGTTAAAAAGTCCTTCACTAAAAGTAGCCACGAGGTTAACATTTAAAGTCTCTATCGTTATATATATATATTGTAGAAAGACATCTTGAATGCTTGAAAAAGTCCTGAGTTTCTAAAATGACAAAGAAAGAAAGTAATTTTGTGGACTGGTTTTTATTGAAATGATTTTAATCTCATCGATTCGGTGATAATAAAGTTTTTCATCAATGTATGATTAATTATTATAGCTTACCTATAGTGTTAATTTTTTATCATTGTGTTTTCTGATAATAAATTATCTTTACATATCATTTTGATATTGTTTTTATACATGTTTTTTTACGCTTTAGTTCAGAGGATACTGTATTTCAGCTTATAATGTAAGATGGTAAAGGAACTGATCAACAGTGTGAAAGAACTGCCCAGAACTCTTTCATAAGTAAATGACATACAAGCGTACATACAGGTTTATACATATCTAATGAAACTATGGCAACGAGTCAAGGGTTTACAACAAATACAAATTTATTGTAACTATACGCCGAGAAACAATTATATGACTGGAAGTTACGAACAGATTACATAAAGAAGGCTGGTAAATTTTTTCATGTCACAAAATTAAAGCTCACAAATTTTAGGATTTTTTTGTACATAATTCAAGTTATATCTTCTCAATTAAGTCATATAGATAATTCAAGTTATTTCTCTTACACTGACTCATAATATTTTTTAAACCATGGGGTTATTGAACATTAAAGATTATTATTTTTATGAAGAAAACACTAATTACTTTTATTGCGTATTAACATAAGTTTATGTCATATCAGAAACGTATATTACTTTTGTATGATTTCATTGTCACCAATGTCAATATTAAATTTTTAAAAAAAGATGTTTATTTGCACAAAAATAGCATTGGTATTTTAACATTATAGCTTTCAATTCACGCTTTCTGTAATTAAGGAATATTTTAAAATGTTAGATGACAAAACGAGAACTTTGCTACGAAGAACTGAGTAAGTGTGAATATAAATTAAGATATTAATTAAAGCGTCTTATATTTTAAAAATACGGAGTAAACTATTGAGCATAAGTTGTCATTATTTACTTTTACAATTTCATCAATTAATTTCAACGCTAATGTGACTTTAGTAATGAGTTTGATATAAAAACAAACTTTAAGTGTCAAAATAATTTTGAATATGTTTATCTTTTCCTATTTTTAGTAACTTCAAAGAAATAGTTTCACATGATACTTCATGCCTTATTCTGAGGTCTTATAATTATTTCACATTTATTATTATATTATTAATAACAAAGACGTGTTAAACACATCATGTTAACAGCAAAAGTAATACGAACCAATTTGCAATGTTTTTCATGTCATTTCAAATGTATATTATTTAATTTAGATGAATAAATTCTAAGCAAGTTCGAAGCTTTTTTTTTTAAAGATAACTGTGACATTTACTATTTTTTGATTTTCAAAATTATTTACTCTTTTTGTTTCTTCGCTTGATTTACTTTAGGGTAATTTATAGTTCTCTGCGCACCAAGAAACAATTGGTATCACAGCACGTGGGAAAGTTGGTAAAAAAAAGCAGGACGTCCAGCTCACGTTGATCTCCAATATTGGAAACGCAGGATCATCACAACTAATAACACCATGCCCATTCTACCAGTCTTGGTTGATCCTGTAGACGTTGAGTCTTGTACTCCTGATATTAATGAGAATTTCGGTATGTTAGTTGCAGTAGATAGACACTTTCCTTTACCATGAGATGTAAAAATACTTAACGTTTTGTATTTAATGTTTAGAGTAGAAATTATATTATATTATCATTGTAACATTAATACAGCAATTTATATATATTATACATAATGGTATTAACATATAATACACTATTTTTATATTTAAAACGTTAATAAGGTATGTTAGAGGAAATGGCACAGGAACATTAAGATTTTTTGTCACATTTTTTAATATTATATCGTATCTAAGTTTTATTACCTTGTTAATAAATTTCATTTTTTGTTAAATAATAAGTAATTTGTTTCTTTTTTTCAACATTAAAAGCGAAAGGTAACGGAGTTATATTGGTTTCATTGACATAATATTCAATATTGAGTTATTTGTGAGAAAGTATGGTGATTGAGCCAACATTACCTTGATTCAAGTTTTCAATGATGTGAAGTCCAGAAGCCTGGTGATGTTCGCCCATAGCGTGTGCCTCATTACTCATGACATATGAACGTAATACACTTGATTCACATTTGAGCCTCATGTTCCCGTTTCGTAAGTGGTCTTCTGTGACGATAAATTTCAAACTGAGAATTGAGCTCTCGAGACCGTCATTGTGGAACTTTGTAGAATATCGAGTTTCGTGCTTTGCCTTAAAACAAATCAAGTTATTGAGTCAAACGTGGACCTTTTCACGCTCATAATTAACTAATTTATGATACCAAACTTATGCTCAGAGTACTCAATATAGTACGAATAAAAAATAGGAGAGTTCCTGATTTTCGACATCTTGTTTCGAACATAAAATTTTACTTTTTGTATCCCAAGAAATTAAATTACATTTCGATCCAATGGAAATTGTTTATCTTAGCTTGCGTTAGTAAGTTGGTAATTCGGAAAGGTAGAACATACTGACCAGATCTCCTTCTACTCTAGCCTTATGTTTGAATTAACATGCGCTCTCTAATCTATGTAAACAGTACAAAAGTTAGTGATGAGAAGGCTCTTCATTCATGGTTTTTCAAATTCTCACCCACCTTCATAGATGATGACGGATGCTTTATATATATATATATATCAATGTGTTTTCGCGAATCACATAATTAGATCAAATGACCAATGACATCACATGTGACCATCATTTACATATCAAGTGTAAATATTGATCTTCATTATTTATCCTCATTAAGAAGGTTGTTCTTTACTTCTTCTATTAACAAAACAAATATATTATATACATTTACATTATACACTTTGAACGTCAATACTGCTCTGGGCAACAATTATCTGTTGTATCTGTCTGTTATGGAAGATCACTCAAATTTGCTCATTCAAAACTTAATTATTTATGGTTATCTTTTTAGCATACATTTTCCTTTCGTTTCGTATTTAAACCTACTATTCGTTAATGAATCTTTTGCAACTTATGGACATAACATTTGCACTTCATCCTTACTGTGTTATTTTTAATTTTGTGTATTCCCTCCGTGGGCGTGGATTTGTAGTGTCAACAATACGATACTTCAACACCTGTGTAATGTAACATTTGTAACTTGGTTTTACGACACTAGTTCAGCATTTACCAACATTTTATTAACAACTGTGACAGAAAACCAAGCAGTAAAGAAGTAAAAGTTTGAAGGTGGTACTTCGAATTATAACATCTTGAACTCTTAAGTATTTTTTCAAAATTCGGCGTCTGAAGCCTGAAATGTATACGAACCAGTTGATTGAACATTTAGTATTCGAAATGTAATTGGATTTTTATTTTTTTATTAATATTCAACTACGTAGAATGAAGTTGACACACGTTTTTCATTGTAGTTTAAATGCAACTAAATTATTATCTAATAAATATTCACCAATTATTTATGCTTTCAAACTTTAAACTATTACATGTTTATATCTCTACCAAATCAGCTAGTCTAAAAAAACCTGAAAAGAAACATCTTTTTTGGATAAAGCATCGTTGAGATTTCAGAAACTTACTAATTCTCCATTAATATACCAGCGTAAGGTTGCCGCAGGTTTCGATTTTGCAGACGTACAGTTCACCATGACTGTGTCACCAATGTTATATTTGGCTCTTCCTCCGGAAATCTTCGGCCCTTCTGTTGGCAAGACTACAGAAAACATAGGATACCATTTTGAAATTTGAAAATGTTTTCAGTTGCGTCTAATGCGTTATGTGGGCATATCATTTGTATCTTTTTGTGTAAGTGGACTTTGAAATGTCCAGTTGTAGTACAAAGTTGCAATACAATAATTGTCTCGAACATTTACTATGTATGTATATATATATATATATTGCTTGATTCAGTATTTTTAGTTTATTATTTCTATAACTTTTCATTCGAATCAATAAAGTTTTCCCTTCATAAACAACTAGCTAAGTTGTCTGTTTTAATTAAATTAGTAAGTTTCACCCTTATAACACGAGAGTATTTAATATCTTAAAAAAGCGCTAGTATTTCTTTTGAACGTATTTTTTATATTATTCTGAAATGGATTTGTTTGGCTTTTTTGTTGTTGGCGATATTTCTAATTTACAGGATTGAAAGCCCTATGATCTAGAGATACCCACACCAACAACACCCGTTTCTTTAAATAGTAATCGAAGAATCCTTGACATAGTATTGGCATTTAAACATTTCTATATTATTTTGTGGCCTGGCATGGCCAGGTGGTTAGGGCGCTCGACTCGCAATCTGAAGTTGCGGGTTCGAATCCCTGTCACACCAAACATGCTCGCCCTTTCAGCCGTGGGGGCGTTATAATGTG